AAAATAAATAAATGCAATCATAAGAATGTATTTGTTACCCAGGTGTGGTGGAGCATGCCTGTAATCCCAGCACTTGGGAGGCTGAGGCAGGAGGATGGTTGTGAGTTTGAGACTAGCCTGGGCTACAAAGTGAGCTCAAGGCCAGCCTGAATTGCATAGTGAGACCCTGTCTCAGAAAGACAAAAAAAAAGAATGTACTTATTCAAAATAAATAAAAATAAATTGAAAATAAAATGATGGAACAGGAGAAAATGTAAGAAATTCAGAAATAAAAAATTTCTATTCTAAAAACAGAAAAATTCAAACATTCATTTATATGTACTAAATTTCTTGGACAGAAGGAGAATATCATTGCCAACGAGACCAAAAGCAATTGTTCAGCAGCAAATTCCGCTCTTAAAAACAATCCATAACAAAGCCGGGCGTGGTGGGCACACCTGTAATCCCAGCACGCGGGAGGCTGAGGCAGGAGGATCATTGCAAGTTCGAGACCAGCCTGGGCTACAAGGTGAGCTCAAGGCCAGCCTGAACTGCAAAATGAGACCATGTCTCAAAAAAAAAGACAAAAACAATCCATAACAATTTATTCTGCAGGATATTATACTCTACTGTAGCTTTACCAAAGCCAGGAAAATGGTGTTAATGAGGTTCTTTAAATTTGGTTTATGATGTCACTAACATTTAATAAATATCTGATTTATAAAAGTAAAAGTCACATGACCTCAGTTGTAGTACCAAATCTTCCAGTTAAAAGTTGTAATCCCTTGAGTAAGTCATTTTCCTTTTCTGAACCAAATTTTCTTTACTTGTAAAAGTGGAGATAACTACTACCTGCTTACTACACAGAGCTACTGTGAATATCAAATGCAGAGCACTGTACAAAGGTTGAGATGCTACACAAATAAATTCAAGCTATAAGTACCAACATTTTCCAAACTAAGAAAGCCACATGTACTCTATACTCTTCACTAATTGTCAGATTAAGTAAATTATTAGAAAAATGTGAACAAAAAGTGCTATGTAAACTAGTATTGTAAAAACTGGATTGAGCTAGGTGGTAGATCCAAGCTTTAGCTCAGGCTGTGCAGCAGTATAATTTGTACTTCTTCGGATCTCTACAATGACATTGCAGAGGTGCTTCATGGGTGTACTTTGCAACATATAATGATGATTTAAAGGGAATTTATTCACTACCTTTTCTGAGCTAAAGTTTGCTGAAAAAACCTCTATTGTTAGGTGTTTAAGAATCAGTGGCTTAGATTGAAGTCTTTTATTTCTATGTTCAGGGTTTTTATAAACCTAACCTACCTTCAACTTTGTATTTTATCCTTTTTCAACACATACCTACATTCTGAGACCACAGTGCCGTATTTCTTAAAATGCCACAGCCAATTTCTGCTTCCATGCTGTTGTCAAAAGGAATTTCAACATCTTTGCTTCTGCTGCCACAGCTGGTTGAATAGCTTTGTCCTATGTTTCCATCCCACTCCTTACCCATCCACTCACTCAAGCCACTCACTTTAAGATCTTGAATATATGACTACTTTCAAAAAGTTACAGTTCACAATGGTATATACCAAAAATGGTATATAGCTCTCACTAAAGAGAATCTGGGTTCTAGGTCAGCGCACTTGTGTGTAATTTGACAATGCACAGAAGCACTGAAAGTTGGAAAGAGCTGGGAGCCTTGGCCATAGAGCACAGGAAGAGAGAGCTCTCTTGGGAGAATTGTTTGTACACTGCCTGAAGAAGGAACATTGTGATTTATGCACTTATTGGATTTTACTGGTAGCAGAGTCCTACCATGGAGATGGATCCATTTATTTGCTACAGGCTGATGCTGTTAAATGTTTATGTTATATATCTGATTCCCTGTGATTTGGTTTCATGATCACCAAATGTCTTCTGATGCTTTAACTTCCCTTATGGTACATTCGTAAAATGTATCCACTAGAAACAAATCGACTTAGCTATTACATCTATATCATAAATTAATAAAACAGTATTCATAAATAGGACATCAGTTTCTTGAAGTCAAGTAGAGTGAATCCATACTGAAACAAGATAGACTAACATATTAGACCATAGGCCTGGAAACTGGGAGGTCAGATCTTGGACTTGTAAATTTATCAACAGACAAGTTGGAGATTTGCCAGATTTATTTCTGTAGGTACTTTGATTTAACTAGAAAAAAACCCAAACCAAACCAAAACAAAAACCCCAGAAAACATAATGATTTCAATCTATGGCTAACACATGGTGTAACATCTTGAGAATGTTCCAGGCGAACTCAGAAAGATACTGTGGCTGAGTGGAGTCAGCTAAGTAAAAGATGGGTGAAACTCATTTTCTTGCACTATTTTCTTTTTAACACTGACACACACTTTTATTTGTTTAAGACCATTAGAGACATACTACACCCCATTTTTGACCTTGTATTCATATACCTTTCAAAAAGTTTGTGTGTACTCTAAGTTACAGCAGAACAAAATGTGTTAACTGCACACATTAAACCTTCCAAAATCTCAATCTCTGTCACAGTTCTCCACGTTAGCTAGTCTAAGTTTTAACTAATTCTGGAAGTTCAAAACAGTATTTTTCTCCATGAAGCCTTCTCAAAGTGCCCCAACCAACTGAGGCTAAAATTAACAATTTTAGTGACCAAACCAAATAGCAAATTATCCCTAGGTCAATTTATAACTTATTATATGCCTCATCAAATTCACTAAAGATCAGCAGCATTTGGCAGTTTTTTTTTTTTAACTAAATGGATATTAATCAAGTGTTAAACTCAAATTTTCTGTATTAAAAGACTACATGTGCTATCAACATGTAATGGAATAAATGCTGTAAGTCTTATTTATTGTTTTATATTTCTGTACTCTAAATCTCAGTGCCCTGGATATAGTCTAGCTTACTTACAGTAGCAATCTACAGTAGATACATCTTCATTTCCCAACTAAAAGTATTCTCTATCATTAGGAAAGGACCAATATAGCTACACAATACTGAAAACACTATTTATTTCGCATTAAATAATTAGTAAAATTTTTAAAATTTATTCCTATGTTAAGGGCACTTATTATTGCTCCCTACACTAAATTTGTGTGCCTTTATTTTATTCTCATTTCTATATTTTTGAAGGTCAGGTATGTATCTATTCATCTATCTCACACAGGTTTTCAGCCAGTACTTCGTATGTAGAAGGCACTTTTAATATAAATTAACAATTCTTTATATATATATTCCACCTTCTCAGTCTTCAGTCCACAGATCACTCCCTTTTAAACTTCTCTAAGAACTGACCTTCTATAAACTATTTGTTACCAATACTATTCTAACATTATCTTTTAATGTGCATTTTATAAATATTTCAGTGTATCTCAACAGCATGTAGGGATAGCATGGACAATTAATACGTGTTAATTCATCCAGCCACGATTTAAAAAATCAATTGGGATACTCTTTAGGAAAAACATAGTCAAAACTGGCACCAAAAGAGAATGGAAAGAGTCTTGCTAATCAAAGTATGGTCCATACACAGCAATACTGGCATCACCTGGACGCTTGCTCAGGCAGATTCTCAAGCCCCAAGGACATGGCCTCTAAATTAGAATCTGCATTGTAAGGCCCCTCAGATGATCTGTAAGCACTTTAAGGTTTAAAGAAACAATGGTTTAGCCGGGCATGATGGTGCAAGCCTATGATCCCAGCACTTGGGAGGCGGAGGCAGGAGGACTGCTGCGAGTTCAAGGTTAGCCCGGGATACAGTGAGTTAAAAGCCAACCTAAACTACATGAGACCCTGATTCAAAAAAAAAAGAAAAGCAAAAAAGCAATGATTTAGTCTCCAGTAGAATTTGAATGTCCAAGAAGCATATGACCAAGTAACACCAAATACCTTATTATAATTGCTTATTTGTTGGTCTTCCTTGTCTGTAAAATGAAGGTTTGTTGAGGGTAGGAACCCTTCCTATCTTTCTTCCCATTAGTATTTCTTGGCCTCAGTGGGACTTCGAACATTATTCAGTGCTCATTTTTTTGTCCTGAATGCATGAATGACTCAACAAAGTAAAAATAAAACCTTTTCAGAAAACTAATCATTCAGAAATTCTTTTGAATAACATGATTTCACATACTACCAAACCTTTTAATTCAGTATTATTAATTCAATTTCAAATACGCTGCCTTCTCTACTTCAACAAATGTATTTCATGCACTTCACAAAGCAACAACTTAGATCATGGTCCTCTGTTGCAGCCTCCAAGGGCCGCTTTTACAAATGAGATAGCTGTGCTGTACTTTAATTCTGACTCTCATAAATCCATCCCATATGCAGAGGAGGAGGGGATAAAGCAAAAACAATTGTGTATCAGGGCTATCACATAAAACCTGCAAAGCATGATTCTTTGGATAGGATACTTCCAAAAAGTAACTGCCAGCAAGAGGGGGAAAAAAGGAGTTAAGAAAACCCTCTCCCTTCTCAAGAGCAAAAGGTGATACTAGAAAATACCAGGGAGTGGTAACGACCAGCAACTACCTAGCAACAGAAGGTGGAAACACTCCAGAGCAGCACCAAAGCGGATAGCGGTTAGAAACGTCCACGAAGGGGGCCAGAAAGCACTTTCAGGTTTACAGAGAAGAAAGCCCCGGGAGAACCGGCAAAGGAAAGAGCTCTGTGAAGGGCAGAACTTACGATGGTGATTATTTTTGAGAATAATGAATATTTTGAGAGATGCCACGGACTGTAAGGGAAGATGAGCGGGGAGGAAGAGGGGAGGCGACTGAACGCATTGCAAAAGGAAGCGACTGCAGATGTCCCTGCCCAGCCCAGGCGCCGCGAGGGAAGCAGCCCGGCATAGGTGGATGGCAACGCCCGGCTCGCCGACCCGCGGTGGCCAAAGCCACCTCCTTTGAAGCCTGCGGAGCCCCCGCGGGCACCGGAAAGGGCGAGCTGTGTGTGGGAGGAGGGAGAAGATGCCGGGCTGACCAGGTACCCACCTTGTCCCAGCGGAGCCACTGCCCGACGGCCGTGTCTAGCTGAGGGTCCCCGGTGCGGTAGGGGGCGTGGAGCAGGTTGGAGTTCAGGTCTCCCTCTGCGTTTTCAGCCATGGCAGGCAGACGAGTGTGCGGGCCTGAGGGGCCGACGAAGACTCCGCGTTGGGGCGCCTGGCTGCGATCACCAGGGTCGGGACGCCCCCTCCTCACTGAAGGGCATCGGACACCAGCCGCAGGGACTTAGTGCCAGCTTCCGCCGAGGCTTTAGGGAACTGGGAGAGAAGGCGGAGACGGCTGCCCGCTCACGAGTGGGCCAGGTCCGGGTCTCTGGGCACACTGACTGGAACTGGCGTGCGGCGAGAGAACAACAGTCCCAGATGTCTGGGTCGCGGCAGCCGCCGCCGCCGCCGCCGCCCTCACCGCCCCAGGCCCCGCCCCAGCGCCGCGGCCCCGCCCTTCCCGCCCCGGCCAATTTGATTCCCTGAGGCTTGAGGCGCGAGCCCGGAGCGCGCTCCCGCCGCCTCCACAGCGCCGCCCGTGTACAGTCCGCTGTGGTGGCGTGGAAATGGTGCACCGCTCTCTTTATTTGCTTAATTTGCCTTTCGCCAGGCGTCTTAGCCTCGTTATCATCCCCTCACTCCCATGCGTCTCCTTTCCTCCCTCTGCCGGCACGGCCGCCACGAGCGCCCGCCTCAAGACCGGCTCTCTACGGACGTCCGGCGCGCGCTCCAGGCCCCCGGCTTCGTTCTAGGGCACGCGCCGGTCGGGTAGGGTAGGCTGGGGGAGGCCGGAGTGCCTGCGCGCGGTCTCACGGGAGTTGTAGTTCTTTTCTTTCCCTGGATCCTGAAGAGACCGCCGAGTAGAGGACTCTCAACAGCCAGCGCCCTCCTTTTCAGAAGAGAAAGCTCTGCCTCAAGGCTGTTCCCTACCGACGAGCCCTGTGCCTGTTGGTTATGCTGTGCCTTGTGGTCCTGCCATTAAGTGAATTTTAAAAAGGAGTGACATAGGAAAGGAACAACCTGTATCCATTTAGTTTTACAGTTGACAAGTTGCTTTCTACCACTTCAACCATCCTGTGAGGTAAGTAGGTGTGGTCCATTCCCATTTTACACATGAAAGAGGAAACTGAAAAGTAAACCGAATTTTCTAAGAGCAAGCGTTCGCGAGTGATGGAACTAGGGTTTCAAACTCTTCAGAACTCCTCAGCTGGCAGTTCTTTTTGCTTTGTTACTGCAGTGAATTAGAAGGTAGGGAAAACAAGAGGAATCGAAAATACATAAAGTGGTTAAGGAGGATGGTGAGCGTTTACCAGTAATACTAGTGCAAGCGTCATAAGTTACATAGAGCAACAACAGCGGAAGTACAGAGGGAAGGGAAATTCATTCTCCAGAATAAAAATAATCCTCAATTTCCTCTCATCTCTGCCTCCTCTTTTCATGGAGTACTCACCTTTCAAGTTGCATAACTGGATGTCTGGGAAATGCTGAGTTATTAGCAGTCCACCACCCGACCCTTCCAGAGTTTCTTAATGTGGCTTTCTTATAATGGCTATGATTTTGACCAAATGTCTTACAACTCTTCTCTGTCAGCTTTTTTGTGTGAAGGGCATAATAACATTTACAGCATGGTTGTACAGTAACAATAAATGCTTTTAGAGACTTCTGAGGTTCAAAGATAAAAGACATAATGAATATAAAATACTATTTTCTTTCCTTTAAAGTGCCACTTACCACAATAAAGTACAAACTGTGAAGGTACAAAAGAATTGTGGTGCTCATTTCTGGAAAATAATGCAACATTGCTGGAAGCTGCAGTTTTTCCTAATCATTTGAGCGTTTTTTGTTTTTGTTTTTAAATGGTGTTAGCAGGTTCTTTAAATCACACAAGGCCTGGGAAACCCATATGTCCAGAAGAAAAATTCATCTTCCCCTATCATCACCATTATTGTCCATGTTAAATATTAATTAAACATTTATGCTAAGCATTATGCTAGGAGCTGAGGGTACAAGATTGTATGTAGTTGTTTATGTCAAGAAATAAAATCTAGCCAGGCATAGTGGTGCATGCCCATAATTCTAGTACTCAGGAGGCTGAGGCAGGACACTGCAGCAAGTTTAAGGCCAAGCCTAGGTTACATAGTGAGATCTGGTCTCAGAAAACAACCAAGCAAAAAAAAAGAGAATTTGTCTGAAGAGAGGATATATGCAATAAAATATAAACCAGGATAAGTAGCAAATTATTGCTGCAAATAACTATTAAATTAAGTCTGAGATGTTCAATAAAAGCATCAGGCAGAAGCTAAGACCTGAACTGGGCTTTCAGAACAGAAAATAAACAAGTAGAGAAAAAGGTAGAGGGCATTTCAAACTGACATTCCAGTGGTTCTCAAATCTCCCTAGGAGAACGTTTAAAATGTACCAAATATTCCTGGACACTGTCCCAAAAATTCTGAATCAGTACACTGGGATAGGGCCTATGTACCTGCATAAAAATGTCTATTAATTGTGAGGTAGGTGGCCTGGTACTAGTAGGATGGATGTGTTGGCATCCCCTGGAGCTTATGAAGAAATGCAAATTTTCAGACCCCAAGCTAGTTCTACCAGATTAGTATCTACATTTCAATAAGATGGGGGGGGCTGGGGATTTAGCTCAGCGGCACAGCGCCAGCCTGGCAAGTGCAAGGTTGTGAGTTTGATTCCCAGTACCAGAAAAAAAAAACCCCAAAAACCAAAATCAATAAGCTCCAACAATGATATACATTAAAATCTTATTTATTTTTTATATACATTAAAATCTATAAGTACTGGTTTTTATATGACAATTCTAAGAAATAGTACCAAATCAAATAGAAATTTCAGGAGATGGAATATAAGGCAAGTATGGATGACAGGAGAAATACAAGGTTTAATTCAATATCAGAGTCGACCAACCTTCACTTTTATCAGCAAGATCATGCCAGGCATTTACTGGTTAGCAGAAATCTTGCCTAGCAGATTAGGTTTTTTTTTTTAGGCCCTGAAGGGTAAGCAAGAATACCCAGATCTCATCAAACCTAAGAACAATATCTGAGTGTGTCCAGAAGGGGGAGTACAGTAGTTTCCCTAGTCAAGAAAAGCTCAGAAACTTAATTTCTGTTGCAGTTTGCCCAGGGCATTCTGTATTTTTATTTGCTAAGTCTGTCAACTCTAATTGTGGTTACATAAGAGAGTTTCCCTTTGATTTTCAGAACAGAGACGTCTTTTGAGAAATGCATTGTGAAGTGATTTTGTCATTGTGTGAACATCATAGAGTGGCTACAGCTTCACTATGTGATAAAATCTATGGAACCACTGTTGTATATAGCAGTTCACTTTTGACCCAAACATGTAGTGCATACACTGTAATAAATTAATTATAATTAATATGTGTTTAATATGTATAACCTATTATCATATATAATTATGATGTAATATATTGGGTTAACTTTCTATTGCTGTGACAAAATACCTAAGATAAATCAACTGAATAAAAGAAAAGATTTATTTCAGCTTATAATGTCAAAGGTTTCAGTCCATGATTGGTTGGTTCTGCTGCTTCTGAGCCTGCAGCAAGGCACCATACTGTGGCAGGAAGCTCTGGTACAGCAAAGTTGTTCACTTTATGATAGTTAGGAAGCAAAAGAGAAAGAGAGAGAAGGGCTCAGGGTCTCAATATCTACCCCCAGGGCATGTCCCCAGTGATCTCACTTCCTTCTAGGCTTCACTTCACAAAGGTTCTACGATCTTTTAATAGCACCATAGGCCAGGAGCCAAGCCTTAAATATATGAACTTCTGGTGGATATTTAAGATCCAAACTGTAGGATATGTATTTATATATTATGTTAACATATACAAAATATGTATGATGGAATTAATATTTTAGTATCACATATTTCTAAAACTTACTCTCAAATGGTCCAGAAAAATACTGTGTATGCAAGTGTTTATTATGCTTTATATACAAACATACATAATATATAGTTAGATAAATAATAAATGGCAAAATAAATAGGGAAAATGTTAGCAATAGGTGAATCTATGGAGCTCCAGTGGCACAATCAAGGCTGGGAATATAGCTCAGTGGCACAAGTGCCTGGAGCACAAGGTCCTGAGATCGATTCCCAGTACCAAAAAAAAAAAAAAAAAAAAAAAAATCCAGTGGCATAGTCAGCACATGGTACTTACACAATAGGTGAATCTGGGAAAAGTATATATAGATATTCTTAGTATTATTTTACTTTTGTAACTTTAAAATTATTTGCAAATAAGAATGTATAATACAAGTGTGGTAGCACACACCTGTAATCCCTTCTACTTGAGCAGTTGAGGCAAGAGGATCACAAGTTCAAGGCTAGCCTGGCAAATTTATTGAGCTGATGTCTCAAAATTAAAAAAAATTAAAAGGGCTGGGCATGTAGGTCAGTATTAGAGTGCCTCTGGGTTCCATTCCCACTTCTTGGGGGAAAAAGTATAATCAAAAAAGTTCAAATGTATAAAAAGTACCTGTTTCTTTTCTTTGTTGTTTTAAAAATATGTAATTGGCACATGTCAGTAATCCCAGTAGTCTGGGAGGCTGAGGCAGGAGTATTGCAAATTCAAGTCTAGCCTGGGTCACTTAGAGAGACCTTGTCTCCAAATTTGGAAAATTGAAAAAGGATTGGGGATGTAGCTCAACGTGAAGGCCTGGGTTCAACTCCAAGTACGAGGTAGAAAAAAATATCTCACTCAGTTAAGGTAGCAAGAAATGAATTTTTAAAATCACTGTCCCACCTTCTCTGTCTTTAGAGGGCCCACCTTCTCTGTCTTTATATGATACTGGGGAGAAAAGAAAGTGTATAGTGCTAGTTCATCAAGCTTTATGCTAACATCTGCATTATCTAGGGGCTATTTGACTGGTGATGCTGGAAGTCTGTTACCTTTATCCTTACATACTATTTATAAGCAATTATGAAAAAACTTGGATGAGGCTATGAACTCCAAAGCCTTTTTCTGGGTTTACCACAGAACCATCCCCTCTAAAATCTTGCAATTCTTTGAAGTCCTGCCACCAGGTAGAGCTCAAGGACTCTGTCACTTTAAATCTTGAGGAAATAATCATTCTGCTCTGTGTTAAGTCTGAAAAAAAAAAACAAAACAAAACTATTTTCTTATGCATAAAGGTAATTGTCATAAACTCCATGAGAGAGGCTATGTGTCAGGAAAGGAATTATCTCACAAACAGCTTTCTACTTTTAACCCTATTATGTAAAACCTCCTTGGAGGCAAGAATATAGACGAACAAATAAAAGGTAGATATCTTTGTGTAAGGGAGAATGGATACAGAATACACCAGGATTATAATGAAGCAAGATGAAGAACCCAGGGTGAATTTAAGGCAGACACTTGCTTTCAGATTTTTGGGAATGAAAGACTGGTGCCTGAGACGGAGTGGCTCGTTACATTTTCAGATGAGATTGGGTGCATTCAGGGTGGTATGACCTAGACTCATTACATTTTCAATAGATTTATTTACATGTAATTCACATACCATACAATTCACCCATTTAAAGTATATAATTCAGTGGTGTGAAAAATGTACACACACACACACATATATATATATATATATACCAATAGTATCACAGTTTACTTTAGAACATTTTTATCATCTCAAAAAGAAACTCTTTGGCCAAGTGTGGTGGTGCACACCTGTAATCCTAGCCCTCAGGAGGCTGAGGCAGGAAGATCACTGCAAATCTGAGGCCAGCCTAATTACAGAGAGATCCTGCCTCAAAAGGAAAGGAAAGGAGAGGGGAGGGGAGGAGAGGGGAGGAGAGGAAAGAGAAAGGAAAGGGAAGGGAAGGAAAGGGAAGGGAAGGGAAGGGAAGGGAAGGGAAGGGAAGGAAAGGAACCTTTTGCCCTTAGTTATCGGCTCCTTGTCAGTCTCTCTATCCCCAGGGCTAAGAAACTGCTAATGTACTTTCTATCTATAAATTGTCCTGTTTTTTTTTTTTTTTTTCTTTTTTGGGTTTTTGAGACAGTATCTCACTATGCGGTTCAGGCTAGCCTTGAGCTGACTTTGTAGCCCAGGCTGGTCTCGAACTCACAGTGATCCTCCTGCCTCAGCCTTCTGAGTGCTGGGATTATCCATATGTGCCACCATGTCCAGCTATTAAATTGCCCAGTTCTGAACATTTCTTCTAAATGGGATTTATATAGTCTTTTGTGACTGACTTCCTTAATTAGCATGTTTTAAAAGTTTATCCATGTCATAGCATGTATCAAACTTCATCCTTTTTAAAGTTGAGTAATATTCAAATGTATATCATATTTTATTAAGTCATTTATCTATTGATAGACATTTGGTTCATTTATGCATTTTGGCTATTGGCTAATGTTGCTATATTCATGTAAGTTTTTGTGTGGAATATGTTTTTGTTCTTCTGACATATATGACTCCAAGTAGATTTTCTAGATTGTAAAGGAACTCTTATGTTTTATCATTTGAAGAAGTGTCAGGTTGTTTTCTGTGCTAGTCAGTGCTCACTAGAGAAACATTTAATATAAGAAATATAAGATATATATACATATACATACCTTGGATTGAGAGTAACTTATTCTAGGGGTGTTCCACAAGATGAGCAAACATTTCTAATAAATTTTAACTTGATAAATTAAGTGAATGATGTTTTGCAATAAGAGTAGTACATCCCGAACATCACATGATCACAAATGAGCCAATGGAGCTCTCACTTTCTTGCTCTCTCCTCTCTCTCTCTCTCTCTCTCTCTCTCTCTCTCTCTCTCTCTCTCTCTCTCTCTCTCTCTTTCCCTCCTTCCCCTCCCCCCTCCTCACCTCTGTGGGATTACAGGTGATTATCTCCCAGTGGCAAGAAGTTATGGAGATCTCATATATAGATTAAGGAGGAGGAGGATAAAAGGTAGAGGAATCCCTCACTTCAAATGAGGTTAGGGAGATGAGTAAAATGTGGGAAACAGCGTAAAATTTTATAGAAAAG